TTTTTGAATTATTAAAATCGGACGCTCCGTTCTCTTAAAAACTGAGTTACCGTTTTGGCATTTCTTCCCCGTATCTTCGGAACGGCTAGACCTGCCAAAAACTAATCAGCACATCTCCTTATCAATACAAATCGATGTTTTTTGAATTATTAAATCGGTTGATCGGTGTTCCCGAAATCGTCGACGGAAATTTGTATCCGACACCACAGACACACTCACATAAACACATACACACACATAATCTATTTTTTCTGAGGTATGCCAAAATGTTCCTTTGAAACGTAAAGGTATAAACAAATTTTTATTTTAGATTTTTTTGCGATTACTATAACTTACCCTACGGGAAGTTAAAAAAAAACTATTATTTACTAAAATCCACAATGAAAAATGTATAAGAATTTTTTTCTATTCTGTTAATAAAAAAAATTTGTGATATTTCAATTCGTAAAATGGTTTCGCCACCTATCAACTACTAAACTGAATTCGAATCAGATAAATGTTTCTTCCATTTATTAATATTATATAATCGCAATTATTTAAATGAAAGGCATAAACTGATCTGAAAAATGTATTAACATGAAATATAAATCTATTATAAATATTGACTAGATGTATAAAACTTGATGCTTATATGTGCTACAAATAAATATTGTTTATTATTTAATTTTAAAGCAATCTATTAATAAATAATTATAAAATTTATGTACAATGCAGCATTAGCTACATTAATTAATAAGATACTAAATTAATTAATATGCAAACTACTAACACAACTAATTATTATTATATCAAGTTCTTTTTTGAACTCGATACAGAGTCAAACCAATCTGATCAATAATATCAGAAAAAAACTTTTTTGGTGATTTGGTAATATTATCCGAAGTGCAATAATCTATATTATCTATATGACTAGAACAATTTTCATAAATAGAAATTCTGGGCAATGCTTCTACACTGATATGTGAATAAAAATGCTTCATTTCATTTAGTACAAATGGAACATTTTTCCTCATATTAATAACACTATCAAGTTCATTAATCAATGAAGAAGGAATTGCTAAATATATGATATTATAAATATTAGTCTTTTCATATTTAATTTGTGATACTGTATATATTGCATTGATTTTATCCACCACTTTGTCTATGGATGCAGAACCCATTTCATAGGAATGGAATTGCCTGCCTATTCTATATTTTTGACCAGTATCATAATTTTTTCTTAAACGTTTACTGTCAGGTATTAAAAGTAATGATTCAGGAAACATAAATAAATGGCTGGTTACCAAATGAACAGAACTTTGTTGGGGCTTTAATGTTAAGGCATTTGAAATATAATCTGCTAAAGGGTAGATGCCACCCTGATGAATAAAACCGAATAACACTATGCAGATAATATTTACAGTATACCAAATTCTTAATAGAATAGAGTGCTGCTTATCTTTTATTTTATTTTGTGTAACTCCTGCTGGGTGTTGAATTTTTTGAGAATGCAGAAAAACCAATGGAAGTATAACCGGAATCAAAAATCTCGGTTCCTGATGTTTTATAAATGAAAGTAAAATAATAGGACCCATGAAACAAGCAGTCATAAGGCCAACAATGCTTTGAATCCGAGGTATTTGTGTGTATCGCCCTCGAAATAATCTAAAATTAATAGTTTTCACATCATTAAGTAAATATTTTATATTATTTATAATCAAATATTACCTGTACATTATTGTTGTAAATTTATATACTCCATAGATTCCCAATACATTAAATAATAAGGGAATATTAACAATAATATGTAGCCACATAGGATGTATACCATGTTCTTTTAAATTACTGCTTTGTAGATTGTATTTCACAAAATTTAAAGGTGTAACAACAAAACTATTAATTGATATATCTAGTTTTTCTACTTCTGCCATAGTTATATACATATAATAAAACGAATCAATGACTATCAATAAAATTAAAGTTGGTAATCCAGATAATATTAATGAAAAAATTCGCAAATTAAAATCATACATCGTAACTGTTTTGGTACCTAAGCCTCTTAAAAGCCAAAAAAATACTGGAAAAAT